GCCTCCCCCACCAAAAAAAACCTAATCCAAATTCAGAGTTTTGATAACTAAAAAAAACTTGATATGTTACCTAGCTAACTTGGGATAAAAAAAATTCTGTGAGAAGTTTCTAGGAAGAGTGCCAAAAAAAAAACTAACAAGCTCCTACTTTTGGCATCTCAAAAAAAATGGTAGGCTGAAGAGATATCTGTGGGCCAAAAAAAAACCCAGCAAACTTCAGACCACACCATGTTGAAAAAAAACTGAGGAGGAGGATCCAGGGAGCTGCGTTAAAAAAAACCTTAAGTCTTGTGCTGAGTCATCCTACCAAAAAAAAGGCTGTTGGGGAGGGAAGAGCTTTGCAAACTTCAAGTGCAGAAACCATTTAAACAAGGAGGGAATAAAAAAAAACAGTAACACTACCCACTCGTAGTTACCCAAAAAAAAATTTCTATCTTCCATCCACTCATTTATTTAAAAAAAAAACTTATAATAATAGTGTGGTGTAGGAGAAAAAAAAAAGACAAAAGGTAGACAGATCTGGGTTTGAAGCCCAGGGAAGACATGCCAGCTCCTGAAGATCTCCCAAAAAAAAAGAGAATGACTCATCTAGAAAAGCATGAAGAAAAAAAAATCCCATCTAGGCAGCTGGTGCGGATTCCAAAAAAAATTCTCCATCTGTCCCACTTTCTTTTTCCAAAAAAAAATGAAAACATCTACTTCTACTTTCATTTTTAAAAAAAAGCATCTGAACCTAATGTAAAATTTCACTATGAAAACGTGAAACTAGGATCTATACTTTCTTAGTTAAAAAAAAATTATAATAAGAGAGGGTATTTTTCACCTTAAAAAAAATGCTGCTTTAAACTGTATAAAGCTCAAGCAAAAAAAATCTTGATTAATTTTTCAGATTGTTTTTGAAAAAAAAACATATTTATTCATCTCAACAATTTTAATAAAAAAAAAATGGAATGCTTTCTGTTCTACTTGTATTAAAAAAAAAAAAAGCAACTCAAAACTTGCAGAGTGAATAAAAAAAACTTGGACAGCAAAAGTCCTAATTCTGGGTAAAAAAAAATGAGAGCCACAGCTCCCCCATGCTGCCAAAAAAAAATATGTTTAACAGCCATCAAAACTGTGGTAAAAAAAAAGGTGCAGTGGTTCATGACTGTCATCCCAGAAAAAAAAGAGGCTGAGGCAGGCAGATCACTTGAGGCCAGGAGTTTGAGACCAGCCTGGCCAACATGGTAAAACAAAAAAAATACTAAAAATACAAAAATTAGCTGGGAGTAAAAAAAAATGCCTGTAATCCCAGCTACTTGGGTGGCAAAAAAAAAAGAATCGCTTGAACCTGGGAAGTAGAGGAAAAAAAAAGCTAAGATTGAACCATTGCACTCCAGCCAAAAAAAAAGAGCAAGACTCCATCTCAAAGGGGGGAAAAAAAAAAAAGAAGTGTCGTAGGAATGGTTTAAATGAAATTACAGATTTCAAATGAAATTACAGAGGCACATACAAAAAAAACTAGACACACACACACACCCATTATATATAAAAAAAACATACTTAAGAAGGTTTAAATTTATCTTTAAAAAAAATCCAGGTGGTAGGTGTAATATTAGGTGTAATATTAATAGCAGCAGCAGTAGTAAGAGAATAGTAATAAAAAAAATAGCAACTATCACTTACCTTGCTCTTATTAAGTGTCAAAGCTATTTATACATCACGTCAGTTAATCAAAAAAAAAACCCTATGAAATTATACTATTATTGTTAAAAAAAAAATTTTTCAAGAGAGGAAACAGGCACAGAGAAAAAAAATGACTTAGACAAGCTCACATGGCCAGTAAGCAAATCAGGCAGTTTGACCTCAGAGTCACCTCTCTAAAAAAAAACTGTCCCTGTCCTTCACTGAGAGAAACAGAAAAAAAAAAATAAGGAACAGGGAAAAGGAAAATTAAAAAAAAAACTTCCTCCATTTGTGATGTTGCCACCCTAAAAAAAAATAAGCCAGAAGCTTGGATATTTTAGCTCAAAAAAAAATTCATTAGCTTCGTTAGCTTCCCAAACATCTTCATCCCCCAAAACTGGTAAATGTATAATTCCAATGTAATTGACAACTTCATATGAGCAATTAAAAACAAGCAAAAAAAACACCACATTGAAAAAGACTTTTGTAACTTAAAAAAAAGGACACGGTGAGAACACAGCCATGGGTAAAAAAAAAATTTCACTAGGGACATTCACTGTTCAAGGAAAAAAAAAAAACATCCTTGAGCAGGGAAGGAAGTGGTAAAAAAAAGGGGAGGGGCTAGAGCTCCAGATTATCAAGATCCAACTCCACACTCCTGAGTTCTCAAGGCACGTGAAAAAAAAGACACCAGCATGAATGCAGAGTAGCTCAGAAAAAAAAACCCTCCTCTTCAGGAGAGGAGATGCGCGCATGTGTGCTTGGCAGGCTTTTCATTTACAAGGTGACAAAAAAAAAGCTATTTAACAGGTGAGCACTGATTTCCAAAAAAAAAAATGAGAATAATGAGACATTTACCTCCCAAAAAAAACAAAATCATTGTGAGGGGAAAAAAATAACAAAAAAAACTCAAAGAAATATAGTTTAATCAATATATAAAAAAAATATTATTTTTTTAGCACAAGCAGCTTTTTAAAAAAAATTCCTTTTGAGGATAACTCACGCCTTTCAAAAAAAAATTTCTCAGATTCATAGGGAAAACTTCAACCCTTAAGGATTCTTAAGCCCCGAGTCCTTAAGAATCAAAAAAAAATTCCACAAAGACTTAAGCAGTTCATGAAGAAAAAAAATAACTATTAAAGTGGCAAATGAACCTAGAAAAAAAAAAATCAGCCACCAAAGCAAAGACAGAAAACAAAAAAAACAAAGAGCAAACATGACTAAGCCCAGCACTGCACTGCCACAAAAATACACCAGCTCACCTGAAATGAAAAAAAATTTTGACAGGGAATGACACCATCATCATTAAAAAAAATTTCCACACACTTGATTTTTGAAACATCAAAAAAAAACTTTCTGTATTTCTTCTGTTAAAAGATAAAAAAAAAAAGTATTACAACCATAAGACATTAAAAAAAAAAAAAAATATTATTATTAATGAAATTTTGCTCTGATAAAAAAAATTGC